GAAATGACTCAGCCTGTAACTGAAAATATAGATGGAGGACAACAGAGCTGCTTCATTTAAGAAGAACCTCAGCTTAGCCTGTTAGCTTTATATATGGTGACGCTATCACCATATATATGTATTAGCTCAGCGCTACACATTCTCCTCTCGTCACTGAGGTCCTCCATCCACATGACAGAGAGGGGAACACAAAAATGACTCAATCTGCAACTGAAAATATGGATGGAGGACCCCAGTTTAGCTTGTTTGTTGCACTAGAGTTGAGCTAATACATATAAGGCAATATAGCATCGGCGCTGGCGCAAAGGCTAACAGGCTAAGCTGAGGTTCTTCTTCCATGAAGCAGCTCTGTTGTCCTCCATCCATATTTTCAGTTACAGGCTGAGTCATTTCTACCTTCTCCTSTCTGTCAACGCTCTCTGGTTTCATTTAAAAGAGTCGATCATCAGATATTGTCCAAGATTAACCTTCAGGGTGGATATAGCTCGCTAGCAGCCTCGCACCAATGACCTAGTTGATGTCATCATTTACCCAGAATGCTTTGCATGTAAATAAAATGGCTCCGTCCGTGTTAAAATATATTTTTAAAAAATTACATAACTAAACAGCCTACAGTATTTTTACAGTCTTTATTTTGCAGTTAAAATATATGTTTATCAAAAAAAGTTTAATGTTACAACTAATCGTGGACCCCTTTAGGAAATTATTATTAGCGGGAGGGATTTTCCAGGAGCTAGGTGTGTGTGTGTGTGTGTGTGTGTGTGTGTGTGTGTGTGTGTGTGTGTGTCTGTGTGTGTGTGTGTGTGCGTGCGTGTGTGTGTGTGTGTCATGAACACTAAAAGGTGTGTGCAAAAACGTATGTTGAACAACCACGTAGCGGCACATCAACTGTTTGTCTTCTGATGGCTCATACGGAGCCCTTTACGATGAGGCAGTAGCTCGAACCACTTCCCTCCCATGCCTTAGAAACAGAATTATAGATTGTATTGGAAGCCTCTAAATTTTGATATTTATTTATTTATTTATTTATTTATTGTTGAAGACATTAAAAATACATGACTCCGAATTTTTATTACTTGTTAACATCATTTTTCACATTATCAGCATCAAGAAGGCATTAGCCGAATAAATTCAAATAAAGTATTAAATAAAGTAGTAAACAACTAGCACATGTAATATCATAGAAGGGCAAAACAGACAATAAAGTTGTATTCAGTGGGTTTAATAGGTGAATAGTTGCACAGTTATTTCTGTACTCTGTTTATTGATGTGCAAAAAAAAACAACATTTTTCCCCCAGCAGCCTTAGCATTTTTACTACCTAGGACACAGAGAGACACTGTAAAACATTCCTTAATACCAAGTAGTCATGAATACTCAACCGTGCACTCATACTGAGAATTCACAACGTCAAATAAGCCACATTGGGAGACAAACAGTCTGTCAGGGATGGTTGTCCTTTTCTAACAAGGCTGTTCTGTGGCTGGAAGAATTAGCTGTTCCGAAGGACATAATAATGTTAACGGCACATTAAAATAACTTTTTTGAAGTAATAGCACATAAAACATCACAACTTTTTACAATTTACCGTAATTAGAACCAGGAAGTAGCACACACATATTTAGCACATTTTAGTAAATTGTTGTGTTTTGTCACAAAATACAGGGTTGAATAATTTGCTTAAAAAAGTGAGGGGAGGGGATTGGGTGACACGTCAAAGGAGAAAATAAAGAAGAGGATAGGTTGAAGTGGAGGGAGGCGGAGTGTCAGTGAGAGGAGATAAGTAGGTTAAACTTCCTGAGCTGAAAATAGCTATCTTCTCCATCACATGGTAGCCAAGCTGCCCAGGGGAGCCTGGCCATATACAGCAGAGCCTCAGTGCTCTCTTTTTAATCTGGTGTCTCTGTGTCTACTACAGGAAGTGCACACAAAACTCTGCCACATTAATCCATCCGTCCATCAGTTTTCCACTCGCTTCCCCTTTCCAGGTCAGGGGTAACTGTCTATCTACAGCAGTCACTGCAAAAAGCAGGTTACACCCAAGTCCATTATAGTGACAAATAGAGAGAAACAAGACAAAATAACCATTTACACACTCGCTCTCAAGAAGGGACAATTACCCTATAATCTAACACATTCTCACTCCCGACTCGTCAAAATATTGATGCTTTTCCAAGGTTCCCTCTGCATCTTATTTTGACGTGTTGGGTAACCCCCTCGTGTCAGTCCTTGCCGCCCACGGCTTTTCTGGGTTGCGCCACCAGGGATCTTTGGGTCAAGGGGTCTGAGGTTAATATGAGGGAGCAGGATTAATTGTTAATTTTAGGTACTAAGGTCAGTGATAGAATGTCTACGGTGAATATTAGGTAATTTTAGGCTTTGAAACATGTAGTTGACGTGAATTCCCTACATTTTCTAAAAATGGTTGATTTAAGGTATTAGGGTTATTGGTTAATTTTTAGGTACTAGGGTCAGGGACAGGATGTCTAAAGTGAATAAAGGTAATTTTAGGCTTTGGGACAGTAGTTTGTGTGCATTTTCTACACTTTCTGAAATTATGACAACAGATTCCGCCCCATCTTGTCAAAAACTGACGCAAGGGGGGTACCCGACACGTCAAAATTGGATGCAGAGGAAACCTTGGAAAAGCATCAATATGTGACGACTTGGGAGGGAGAATGGGTTGTATAATCTGACATGCATATTTTTGGTCAGTGGGAGGAACCTTCTCATTGAAAGGTGACAGCCCTAACCACTAGTACTGTAGTCAAGACCACCTAACCTGAGCCCAATTCAAGACCAAGAACGAGTAAGGGGAAGACCAAGTCAAGATCAAGACCAGAAAAAAAATGAATGCCCTAAAACATAAAATATACTGTACACAGGTAAATACCTAATACAAACCAAATCTCTTTGTGTGAAGGACATTTAAAAACATATTTGTACATAGGCAGATTGGCTAACAAATAAATTGGAAAATGTTCTGGCAATTCTGTGATATTTCCACAGTTGTGGTCTTGCCTGGTCTTAAAAAGAAAATCCAGTCCTCAATGTTCAAGATCGAGACAAGATCAAGTACAAGTGCAGTCAAATCCAAGACAAGACCATCAAAAACTGGCCTTGAGACTCTCGAGACCAAGACCGGCCGGGAGTACTACAACACTGCTTACCATTAAGGGGAATTGTGCAATATCAACAGCCTTGATCTTGACATATTTGTTATGATAGAATAATCTCAACAAAGACACATAATGTAATTACTCCATCTGTATTTTTAGTCAGTTGACCCTATGAAGAGGTACACGTTACATACAACAATAAAGTACACCAGAAGACACATGTGCGTATTTGTGTTTGTCATTCATCAGGCAGGCTCTTGTGTCTGAATTATCAGATCTCAACAAAGAACAAATGCCTCGGTATACCTTGACCTTCTACATAGTATCAAACACAATCAGTCTCTGTTGTATTTGACTCTCCCCGAGCAGATGCTTGTCATATGCCCTCTTCCTCTTTTTGTGGGGTTTTCATTTCTTATAAAGCTCTTTTGATTGTGTTCCACCTCTATTTTCTTCCCAGTGTTTGTGTGTGTCATATTGGTATTCCAACCTTATTCCACTTTCCTCTGGAGAAATTGGCTTCCTTTGATCGGCCAAGAAAAAAAAAAAAGCACTAAAAGGAAGCTTTGACTTACACCTGCTTTCTTTTTCCCAATACACATCTCCGCCCTTTCTTGCCTTCCTTTCACTTACTTTTTAATTTGTCTTACTCCATCCTTGTGTGATTTTTTTCCCCTAGTAATTTTTGTGGTTAGAATTTGGATTCTCTTTGAGTAAATAAAGAAGCCATCGTACTTATGTATATGTTTGGCACCCTACTCATATTGTAAAGACACAGGCTTGCATTCTTGCATCTTAAAACTTATTATACGTCATGCATTGCACATCTGCTTGGAAATGCTTTGGTGTGTGAATGTGCTTTTATTTGCAGCAAAATGCCACCTTGTACAGTTTCTGCATCCTGTGCATTTTTATGAGGCAAGGGAGGGCCAAATGCACTGCAGGAGGTAAATTGAGCTAAATTGTGTGATTGAGAACTTAAAAGCAGGAAAAACATAAGGCACATTTGGGGCGCAGCGGGGTTTGCAATTTACATGCAGCTTCATTTGTCTCTTCTTCATCCTTTCAAAGGCACACCTCGGGAGCAGAGGTGTGTTGTACACGATGACCTGAATTGCTTAATTATGTCTGATGGTCTAGTGACTTTATCCTTGAATATGCAAAAAAAGGGGTAAAATAATGAAATGGATACACAAAATAATTAGATCATTTCTCCTAAGTTTGTGTCATATAATCTCTTTATAGACTGTGACCTGAAGCCCTCACATGTCAGTCATAGTAAATAACAGGAAATGAAAACCATCATTAGAAGGTCATAGAAAGACCCGCTTCAGGTTTTATGGGTGACAACACTGTGGTTGATAGATGCTGCACTGTTACCAAAAAAAAGCAACTTTCAGAAAAGTGTAATTATGTGTCATTATGCAGCTCCATTTACGGCAACACGCTCTTGTAATTCTAATTAAAGGTAATTGTGTGCAATTTGCAAGAACCATCAAAGGAATAAAAACTCAGTGAGTGTAAGAGTTAATTACCTATCTACCCATCTATCCATCTACTCACCCATCTATCTACCCATCCATCCACCCATTCATATATATATATCTAGCTACCCATCTATATCTACCCATCTATTTATCTATCAACCCATCAATCCATATAGCTATCCATCAAGGTTTTCCATTTCAGTTAGAGATATTTGAGAACAAAGACACTCTCTTTATTTAGTTGTTTCTAAGGGTCCATGTTCTTCAAGTTTCTACCTTATTTGTCCTTTATAAATGGCAATGGTTGAACACAAGTGTCCTATTTACCAAGACATAATTATAAAGTTTATAAATCAGCCTTTTTTGTCTCCTTTTTTCCTTGTCCTTCTGTTTAGGACATGGGTCCTACCAGCATGCCCTCGGTGCCCCTCATGGTGGGATGTGGGGTCTCCTGCACCGCTCTCCTCATCATGCTGCTAATCTATGCTGCCTTCTGGAGGTGAATGACTACACGCACAGATACACTCACAGATGCCACACCATTTTCTGTACTTAAACTTCTCCTGTGTACACAATGGTAATTTTATAGTCATATTTGAAAGAGTGCAAATAAAATAAAATTTAAAAAAAGTCTGATTTGTGTGTGCCAGCTGCAGCACCAACACTGCAATGAGGCCTAAAAAAAGAAGAAATTTGTTTGGCAACAGCAGGGGTTGTGAATTATGAGCTCTTTTTTTTCCATCCTTGTTTTTTATCATATATTTTACAGATGACAAAATCAAGTTAATGACTCTACATTGGAAAACAATGTTCAGAGTATTCATCTCACTTATACGTTGGATCTAAACTTTGTTATTTTTGTCATTTCTTACTTGTAGGTATATCCGCTCTGAGAGATCAATAATCTTGGTGAACTTTTGTCTCTCCATCTTGGCCTCCAATTTGCTGATCTTGGTTGGACAATCTCAGACTCTCAGCAAGGTACGTATAGTGATAATGTTTTTTTTCCACATCTATGAACACTAGTCGAGATGCTTGGCAATGTTTTTTTTGTCTGCGATGCTTCCTGTGCTCCCAACCAAGCCTCTTTCGAGCCGTTTGGAACACAACTGGAACAACACACAGGGTGGAGCTGCAGACAAGGTTAATACAGTGGAGGTGTCAAAGCAGTAGGCTGACATTTTTGGCAAACGGCTCTCTAAGCTGTCTGACTAAGCAAGGCTTCACAGTGCGGTGGTCATTATTGATTAAACTGAAGAACACTGTAGAGCCAGTGGAAACAACAAGGAAAAAGTAGCCTCTTTATCAGACTGCATCTTTTTGACTATCCTTTCCTTTGATGTGTAGAGATTTGACTTTCATTTTGTGCTTACTACCAATCCTTACTAGCTCTTGCTCAACAGATCTTTCTCTTGATAACTCGCTTTTCTGTTCACCTTTAGGGACTGTGTACGGTGACGGCTGCCTTCTTGCATTTTTTCTTCTTGGCGTCCTTCTGCTGGGTGTTGACGGAGGCGTGGCAATCCTACCTGGCTGTTATAGGCAAAACCAGGTCACGAATCATTCGCAAACGTTTCCTGTGCCTCGGCTGGGGTGAGCGTTTGCACACATTGGATTTAACTCTCACTAAGGCAGCTGATTTAGAATTCAGGTTTGCTCTTAAATATGCATTTAGGCCAGAATTGACATCTTGTGTGTTGTTGCAGGTAGCTCTTTAAACACTCTCAGTTTAAATAAACTGAGGTAAAGCCTAACAGAATGAGCTAACATCTCATCTGAATGCAATCAAAACCAAAGTGAAATGCTGCATTTTTAAAACATTCAAAAAAAAATCATAGTGGTTAATCCTGATTAACAGAAAATAGCACAACATTTTATGCATGCAATAAGCTATTTTCAAGTTTATATGTTTGACTATCATAGTTGAATACCTTAATGTTTCCTGAGAACAAACCATATTTTTAAATTGCACAAAGTTGCATAGCTAAATGTATCCCTGAACTGACAGAATAAAACCAGCTCACTTTTATGATTACAGTTTCTGTAAAGCAGGCATTACTATTTTATTTTACCAAACCATTACACATATGTTAAAGGGGCAATATCATGTAAAATCAACTTTTTTGAGTTTTATATCATGTTATAATGTTATACTCACATAAAAAAAACATGTCCAAAGCCTTGCTCTGACTCATTCATGCATGTTTGAGAAATCCTGCAGTGTTTTTAGGAAGCCATGCTGAGGAGCAAAACAACAGGTGTGGACCAGAAACGCCCCTGAGACGTGTCTCTAAGCCAAACTTCCTCATGGCAGAGCACCCCTCTCCCCCCTCCCCACACACACCGCCCATGACTCCTGCAGGCTCTCTGGTGAAATTGAAAGTGAAACTTAAAATGTCTGCTGAGCTCTCAAAATTTGTTCTAACTCAGTGAAGCTCTTTTCAGATTAAAAATACCTTTGAGGAAATGTATTTTCAGTTGTCAAGTAAACTGCATCATGGCAGCCCCCATCGCGAGCGCGACAC